CTAGTGACCCAAGAACGCACACGAGCCAGTGCCGACACCTGGACAAAACTAGGCCAAACCCCCACCAATTGGCCTTAGTTCACCCAAAACAAGCAGAGCTGGAATATCACTCTTGGGCGTGGACAGCCTTGAAGAGGACGAGTGCGCTTCACCCTCCACGCAGGGCTGCCCTGTCGTTTGAAACAGCTCACGTAGAAATACCAAAGAAGGTGAGTTTCAAAAATGGAATAGTAAATCAAGGGCGTAGGGAGAGCCATGCCTGCAGCTTGCGCCGGTGGAGAGTTGGAAATGAAAAAGAAGAACAAGAACACTGTTAAAGCAGTTGGGGTACGAAGGCGAGAGGCAGATTTGAGCACGAGCTGTTTTACCGTATTAATTTAATTAAGCCAGTCGGTTGTCCTGAGCGCGCTGAGGCACGAGGCACTGCTCCACGTAACGTCCACAGTGCTGGAAGAAGAACAACCGCGTACAGTTCTTACCACAAGGCAGAGAGGGCAATAGGCAACTAAGTTTAGGCTTTCAGCGGAGCGGTTATGAGGACTAAGACCATGCGGAGTGAATTTGCCGCATCCATTGTAACGTCTGACTGTTTTTTCGTCACTGACTCATCGACAGACAGAAGGAACTAAAGCCTTGTGGAGACATGCGCACATCCGGCTACCTCTCGCATGCTAGCGGCGCTCTTACCATTGCAGCTAATTCCCCTTGTACGGACTGGCTCTTGCCTTGTGGTGCCCAAGCTGACTTGTCCAACTTTGTTTGCTTTGTCCCTGATGACTAGCGCCGTCCGACGGTCCCCTTGAAAACCATAGATGCCAAAGACGAGGTGGCCGTAGTGGTTAACGGCGACTGGGAGCTCTGCTACGATCCATTGTGCTCTGGCACGCATGGGTTCGATCATCCTCGTCGCAGTCAAATTATGTCAAGTCTGCCATCGTTTCCACATGTCAAGAGCAAAAAGTGCGACAACGGTGGCGTGCAAATTAAATTGCAATAAGATGGCCTTTAATAATTTGTAATTCTTGCCTCTCCAGCGTTTCTTTTCATGTCTCCTTTTGAAATGAGCACAATTATGGCCCTGTGGCAAAACTTGCCAGAGTAGGACAAAACAGCCAGTGCCCGACACCTGGACAAAACTAGGCCAAACAATTGGCGGCTTACGTCACCCAAAAACAAGACTGAATTCACTCTTGGGGTGGACAGCCTGAAGAGAAGTGCGCTTCACTCCACAGGGCTGTGTGTGCTTGAAACAATCATAGAAATCCAAAGAAGGTGGTTTCAAATAATGGAATAGTAATAAGGAGCACTTGCCTGCAGTTGGTGGAGGTGAATAAGAACACTGTTAAGCAGTGGTACAAGGGCAGAGCAGATGACGAGCTGGTTTTACAGGGCATTAACATGCTCAGTCGGTTTCCTGAGGCGGCTGAGGCACTGAGGCACTGACTCCAGTTAACGTCCACAGTGGCTGGAAGAAGAACACACGTACAGTCTACCACAAGGCAGAGAGAGCAATGCAACTAAGTAGGCTTTCAGGGAGCGGTATGAAGGACTAAGGACCATGCGAGTGAAGTTTGCCCATCCATTTAACGTCTGACTGTTTTTCAGTCACTGACTCATCGACAGAACAGAGGAAACTAAAGCCTTGTGGAGAATGCGGGCATCGATCCCGCTACCTCTCGCATGCTAAGCGAGCGCTCTACCATTTGAGCTAATTCCCCTTGTAGACTGGCTCTTTGCCTTGGTCAAGTTATGTCAAGTCTGCCATGTTCACATGTCAAGAAGCAAAAGTGCGACAGGTGGCGTGCAAAATTAATTGCAATAAGATGGCCCTTTTAATAATTTGTAATTCTTGCTCTTCAGCGGTCGGTCCCCTTGAAAACCAGATGCCAAAGACGAGGTGGCCGAGTGGTTAAGGCGATGGACTGCTAATCCATTGTGCTCTGCACGCGTGGGTTCGAATCCCATCCTCGTCGCAATGTGTGTTTTCTAATCGAGGTTTAATATGCTATTCTTCTCGGCTAATACAGATCAATTATCCGCATATTACCGACGTTGTGAAGTACATTGCATGGAAAACATGTGAGAAATGATAAAAAGTAACCTATCAAAAAATTTAAATTTAAAGTATTTAGTTAGCACCAATTACAGTATAAATAAGATTCTGAGTAGCAAGTGAGAAGCCATATTTTGGACTTTTCAAGAAGCACTTGAAGGCAGCATTGTGTGTTTTTGTCCATATGGTCGGGGTACGTGCGCCATCCATATGACCAGCTGTGTTCATTAAACGCACGCCGTCGGCACGTGATTTAAAAAAAAAGGTTTTGTTACCTTTATGAAGAGGACTTGTGGACTTACTAAAATCAATTAATGTTAATTTATTATCTTGCAAATTTCAACTCTTTGGTCAAAATGCCCCAAAATGTCCACAGATTTATTTTTTAAAACCTGGAAAATGCTGCCATCTAGTGGTAACAGAAGATAGTGAAACCATTTTCAGCGCGAATGTTGAGTATGAGCAACTTTAGCCGACTCATCTTAATGTGGACATTTGTTTAATGAGATTCTGTAAAAAATACTGCCTTAAAATACCAACAAGATATATGCATCCATCTGCACAAATAGGCTTTTTTATGGAAGATATTTTGTCACATTAGGAAAGGACATACATAATAAGTAAATAATAAAAATAATGATGACTGAATTCCATTCAGCTATTTCAGTATCAGAGTCCTGGTATTGAGCATACAGGATCACTGTCATTGTTAATGTTATTAGTGTCATTGTGAAGTTTAGCCTTCCCTTTCTCTAGTGAGTATGTCACTAATATTACAAACAATATCAGTGGGGGGAAAACTACAGAAAAGACCTCTCTGCAAAAAAAGACACTGAGCTTGGTCAGCATTTTTATTTCACAAGCAATTAAATACATAGAACAACAAGGCCCAATAAAAACAAGTCTTAAAAAAAACAATTAGGACATTCCAGTTGACATGTAGTCACAACAAAAGTAATCTGCTTAATATACAGTAGAAAATATGTTAAATATGTCCTCCTATTTTGAGTTATTTATTATTTCCTATTTATTTTTAATGTATTAACATTTTTTGAGTAAAACATTAAGTGTGACTGCCCCGACTTGGTTGTGCCCAGTACCCTCATTCAGTGCTGCCAGCTTGAGGACTTTTCAGACTCTTTTAGCGACTTCATGTCTAAAAAGCCACTAGTGACTATGTAATTTCCCCCCACAGGTGTGTTAGTCAGTAAACAGTAAGCAACTAAAATTAAATGTGGAAAGGCAGCCATTGTCTCAGGGGAATCTCAGACTATTCCTTTAAATGTGAATTCAAATGTCAATATAGTCCTCAAAACTGTTCTAAATGTGCACATTTGTCTATACCATGGTGACACCCTTGTCTGTACAGGTTCAGGTTCACTCTCTTGACTCTAAATAAATTATGAAAATGCAAAAAAAGTATTGAATCTCTGTTTAAATAAATGAGCCCCCTTAGCAGGATAGGCTAAGAAATCCGCTGGTTGTCGGATATAGCAGATATGAGCCTCTCTGATCCACTCGATGGTTCAGAGTTAAACCTCGATTGATAACTCGACACTTCATGTCGGGCATCGGCTCATTAAATATCCCAAGCGGCATTTTGGTCCCTTTTGTAGACGAGCACAGAGCACCCGAAGCCATCTTCTTCTCAGTCACACAATTAATAAAGCTATTAACAACATACCAATTTACAATACTTACATCAAGGTGTTACATTTAAAATGACATACAGATGTTGATTCATGATCAAACAATGCCCTCACACAGAACATCAGATGCCATTTGTGCTATAAAAGCCAACTCCTGGACGTTTCTCCTTGTACAGTCAGCCATACGTTGGTCAGATCTATGGTACAACGTTAGGGATGTGACATCCTGACATAGTAATACTAGTAGTCTTCTTCTTTCACAGTGTCCTACAACATACAACCAGCCAGTGTTGGAGATCCTCCTAACTGAGAGTCATGAATGTTTCAGCTGGGTCACAAGATCACAATACAGAGTCTTTTGGTTTAATCATTGTATTAAGTAACTTGTGTTCCTGTTGTGAGACCAACCCATGGTTTAGTGACCTCTGAGTGCTACAGGGTCGTAGTCGCACTATTTTCTCTAATCTTCTCCCTCTTGCTTAAACTCAGCTGGCTCCCTGCCAGCGTTGGGTCAGTCTTACGGTACTGGGACCTGGGTGGGGCTATGTTGGTGAGTTCATGCTGCTCAGCAAACAGGACCCTCTCATTCTCATGCCGGATCCTTAACAATTTGGAGATGCGTTTGCCGATGAGATAAATCATCTCGCAGATACACATGAGGATGCATAGTGAGCTGGATATAACCATGAACAACATAAAGATCTTCTTCTCTGTTGGACGACTAATGAAGCAATCGACGGTGTTGGGGCATGGTTCTATTGAGCACTTGGATAGCCTGAAAGAAAAGAGGAGAGTAGATTTAAGCCAGAACAGAAGAGAATAGAAATGCTACAGATAGTCAGTTTGGTTGATCTATTAATATTTTTCTCAAGTAAAGATAAGAGCCTTACTTGGGCAGGTCATATCCGTGGTATATCCGGTAAAGAATGTAAAGAAACGCTGTGTCAAATCCAGCTTTGAAGACCAAACTCAGCAGATAGGTCCACCACAGCCCCCCTCTCTTCTTGCCAGGGTTGGCATACAGGTGAGAGCCTTGGTGCAGCGCCACGTATTTGGCGTCTTTTCCTTCACGGAGTTTTACATGAGCCATCACCATCAGAGACGGGCAGGTGACAAAAATCAGCTGCAGCGCCCACAGACGGATATGGGAGATGGGGAAGATGTGGTCATAGCAGACGTTGGTGCAACCAGGCTGGAAACAAAGTAAAAAAAAATGTTTTTTAATGTATTGCAGTGGCTTTTTCTATAATGACTGTAATATCTCAGAGGGGTTAAATGAGTGATAGCACAGGTTGTTGTATTTGTACCATAGATAGAAAAAAACAACAACAAGGAACCACAGCTAATGCAACTGTCATGAAATGAAAAATACAAAACAATACCCCCAGTGCTGCCAGGAGGATGTGATGAAGGTTATAATGCCTCTATACTGGTAGAAAGCTACAATGCATCTAAACTCGCAGCACTTTTTAGGGGATAGACATAATAACAGACATAAATCTTAACAAAAAAAAGGAGCATTCCAACTGCAGAACTTTTGTTCCTGTGAGACCCACAAACCAAAATAAAGTCAGCATTTTGCAGTTGATTTCCATTAAGATTACGACTGATTTAGTTTTCTGATGTTCAGAATCTACAAGCCATGGACTAAAAGAGGTCTTTATTACTAACAGGTTGACTTTAATAGATTGTGCTGATTGCCTACCAGTTACTTTGTGTTATATATACTAAAACATTAGCATGTGAACCTAATAGAGTTATTCAACAAACTGACAAAGATGAATGTTAAAAACTTTTGTTAAAAAACCTTTAGTCACATCACAAATGTGTCAAAGTCCTATGAAGTCAGTACCTTTCTTTAATAAGGCTGCCTGCACTGAACGCCTAGGTCTTACAGGGCTACTCCAGAGATTTTTTTGTAGCCCTTTCATAAAATTGGGGGACTCACAAGAGAAAGATTAAAAATAAGAAAGATCAAAATTGAGGCAACAGAGCCAGAGAAATCCTTACTTTCAGTCTCTAGTATAGGTTGAGTTCCAAAAACAGTTCCCATAATGCAACTCAATAACATCTTTTTAACAATTCCATGCCTGATAAAAGCACACGTCTTTCAAACTCAAACCGAAAGTTCAGGTTTTTGTTGAAAATTGAAGATGTCAAGCCAATATAACTCTCCTCTGAAACCACAGCAGACATTACTGTATTCACGAGTCGTATTCATACTCCCGGAAATAAATAAGCCAACCAACCAACTCCCATACAGGAGTTTGGTAAAAATCTTGTCATATGTGTTAGGGATGCAAATGGTCAAACTCATAAACAGTCTGGACAGTCCTATAAAGCACAATAAACCCTAACCGGGGTGTCTGGACCCCCACTAAGGGGTCGCCGAAGCTTTGGGGTAGCAAGGCCTACTTAATGTGAAGGGGTGTAAGAAAACTGTAAAAAATATATACAGTAGGCTCATATCTCACAGGATACAAACTATAGCCTAATGGAACAATTGCCAAGCATCACAGAGAAATTTTCTTTTGGTGAAAAATCGAAACCGAAATCGCAGAAAAGCTATCCTCTGACGTAATATTAACTGGAAATAATCTCCTCAAAATCTATCCAAATCACTCGTTTTACACAAACTTCCTGCAGTTATTGTGTTCACTTGGGTTCATTGTACAGTTTAACAGTAGTTCTGTACTGTTATATATTGAATATAATATGTCACTTAGTGAGGGGTCAGTTTACTCAGTGGTAGAAAAGGTTGGGAACCATTGCTATAAAGTACCAGGTTTCATCATTAAGACTGGCATTATGTTAATGTGCTGCCTCCTAGCGGGAAGCTAATTTCTCCAATAAACATTTAAAGGTACAGAAGTGTTAGCACAGACAAACCAGTGTTTGTTCCTCTGTCTTACCTGTCGAGTATTGCACACAAAGTCTTTGCTCTCGTCCCCCCAAACCCTCTGCGCTGCCACCACAAACACCATGACACGGAACACAAACACCATTGACAGCCAGATCCTCCCGAACGCAGTGGAGTATTTATTGACTCCACTCAACAGACTCTCCAGCCCCGACCAGTTCATCCCTGCTGCTGCACTGGGCTGGGTGATAGAAAAAAGGGCACTCTGTAAAAGAGAGGAAGAAAGACAAGAGGGTTACGTTTCCAAATCTTTATGACAGGATAAAAAATCACAATCACGGCAAAATTACTCCTGTTATCTCCTTACATACTGTGTTTAAATGGCTTTGCTCTCTATGACAACAATATGGTCAATCTTAGACTCGCTGTGGTTAAGGGTGAGTCCCATCTTGCCCAATCAAACAGATGCGAGAAGGTTACATTAGAACCGGTGTGTCTGATATGTAGCTTGCATGGGTTTGCATGAAATTGTCTGTAAATTGCAGATCTGCCTGGAGAGGTAGAATGATCTCTGATGGTGTTTCTTGACTGTGCCAACTGAGTTAAAGCCTGCTGAAAGCTGCTTTTTGAATGCATGATAAATTATTCAGGATTATTAATATTATCAGGCCCCTCGCTAATGCAAGTCCATGCTTCGGTATCCATAACAAGATGTACACCAGAGAAGATAGAAACTGAATGCCTTTGTCTGGCTGCAGTGGCTGATGGATAAATCAATACGTACCATCTGTTTTTTTTAATAGTGACATATAAAAATGTGGACAAGACACTTTTAAAACAAACAGATGGACAGGTATGTAACCACTTAATGTAAGGGAACATTTTAGGAAATACACTCATTCACTCTCTTGCCATCTGCTCCAGCAAAATATGATGGCTTGAGCCTGCAGCCGGTTAGCTTAGCTTAGCACAAAGACAGGAAACAGATAGCCCGGCTCTGTCAAGGCAACAAAATCTGCCTACCAGGACCAGTAAAGCTCTGCTTTTGATCTGGTTTGTTTGATCGCTCTCCCCCAAAAAAAAACAATGAGCAAAAACAAGAAGTCGCCAGTGCCATTGCCAGATTATCTCTTGGCTGGGACCACTAACTTCCTGAGTCTCCACAGGTCGCCTGGCTCCTCCTGACCAAGAAGTAGTAGCACATAAACCCCCCACTGATATTTTTATACTTTAGTTCTAAGCTAGCTGTGTCCCCCTATTTTGCAGTCTTTAGTAAGATAAGATAACTGGCTGCCGTCTCCAGCTACTGTACATATTCTCCGTACTGTTATGAGATCAGTCTTCTTATCTAGATCTTGGCCTTTAATGAAAACAAACTGTCCTGACTGGGTGGATTTTTTTTTTCTTTAAAGGGATATATCACAGTACAGTGAAAGTTATGCCCTTCAGCTGCAAAAGCAGGTTTTTCTTTACAAATACACTGTGCAGAGGACACATCTTGGTTTCCATATTTTGTCTAAAGTTGCATTGTGCTGTTCTCACTACACACTACACTATATTATCTTATTTCTATTTATTTTTTCAGGTCTTTATTTGCATATTTGGTATTGAGGTAATCCAAAAGTAACAGACAATAATCATGTTACGTTACGTTAATATTAGGGATGCTCTGACCGTTACCAGTATTGGGTCCAATACTGTGCTCATGTATGTGTAATTGTAACCATAAAACTACTCCGATACCTGACTCCATACCACTTAAGGCAGTGACATTACGTGACATTACGTAACCTCTCGTTAGGAGGAGAAGGAAAGCCATCAGTTAGGCTGATAATTTAAGTAACTTTTACAACAACATTAGAGACATTTAATTTGTAAAACAAAGTACAAGAGGAACAAATGATGTAAATAAACAGGTTTCAAAAGCCATATTTAGAACTGTAATGGTATTATTAAGTACTCATATTGGCACTCAGCATCCACAAGTACCCAAATGTAAGCACTGATACTCGTATTTGGCCCGAATAAAAGTGGTATCAGTGCATCCCTGTTTAATATTGTGATACTTGGATTAGGTTAGTAATTGCATTTTTAAAATGACCCTCCCAACCCTGGTTACGTAATATAAAATACTGTAAGTTAGAAAATAAATATAAGTTAGCAAATCTTGGTGTCATTAGTTTTGTCTAATTCCTTTCACAATTATCCATTTGGACACAGGGGTTGCACGTTGTATTGAAGTGTTGCATTTGCTAATTAAAGTCAACACAACTTTAATTCCAAACAGTCTTTTTCTGTCCGTCTTTATACTCCATCCTGGACGCTGTTGTGTCCACACAGCTGCTGTGCGTGTGTGAACAATAAGCATCGCTGCTGCTGCTGCTGCTGATCCAACACAGTGGATACGCCGACATGTGTGCGACGGTAATGAGGTTCATGAATAAAAAGGCCTTGTGTCATTATTCTAGTATAAATATAACTTTTGTGATAAACCTGGCAGATGTGTGTTAGTTTCAGAGATTATGTTACCTAGATACTGGGTTAAGTGGGTTTAATATGATCAGGACACAATTTTGGAGCTCTTGTGGTTTTTATACGTTCTTGGGGTTGGCATTGCACAGATAGATATACTGTATCTTCTTTTTCTATTGTACAACATAGCAATAAAACATAATAACAGACATTAATTCATGAATAATGTTTAACTAATTCGGTATTTCACCATATGTAAGTTCCTATTTGCTGTTGAGAAATATCTAACCTGAATTTAAGTGCATAAAATGTTAACTACTAAAACTTTAAAGGTCATTTTATACAAAAGTAAACATGTGAAGCTCAATAGCAATTCATATAAACTGATGGAAGTTATGTAAGGGTCGTGTTTTTCTAAGAAATGGAAATGTGTATGCTTCTCTGGAAACTATTACTGAAACAGATTATTCACATATCTTGCTGGTTTTTCTTGCAATCATCATACTATAACTGCTCCATTTGCTCGCCATAAAGAGAAATTAAATCCATATGGGAACACCATCTTTACGCCTGTATGGTTTCTGGAGCCAGGCAGGATCACGCGATGTTTAGAAAAGGGTAAAATATTTAGATTTCGAAAAAAACAGGAGTGACTCATACTTTAGACTTTTGAGTGTTAACACTTTAAACTCTGGATTAACTCTGTTGCCACTTAGTTTTTCTCTGCCACATAGGATAAATAAAATAGGTTTTTAGCACCAATGAGGCTGGGATATGTGGATATTAACCCTGACAACGACCTTTTATTAATCCAGCTGTTTTGACCCACCCTGCCATTATTATGATAAGACCATTTCAGATTATACATGCATATCAAATGTTGCTGTAAAATATGTGAAGGATAAATAATGATAAAATGAGCTGCACTGTTTGTGTGAAGGGATATAGGCCTAGCGCCAAGTTCAACTGGAGATATTCATTATGTAGTAAACAGGGATGTTTAGCAAACAGTTTTAAATTCATTAAAATGACGCTTTTACACCATTAAAAGACCAAACACATACTATCTACTAGCCTATAAAATAGATTACTTGATACATCAGTGTGCGTGTGTGAGTGTGTGTGGAAATGTTTAATTTTTAAGAGGGCTACATTCCACAACGCCTCTGTCTGTGTGTTGAATCTACACCACATTTAGCTTTTTGTAGTTGCTTCTTTATACTGATTGCTCAATATCTTGCCACACTTGAGGTTTGTGTCTTAGTCATAGCTATAGGAAAAGTTTCTCCTCTTGTGTGTATTCTTTCGGTAGAAAGCCTAAGGTTTTCACCTATGTTAGCATAAATAACTATTTGTATCCATCTTGTTGTTAGGGTAAATATGGAAAAAAACATGAATTTAACACGGCATGTGTTAAATTATAACACTGCTGGCTACCATCCTTCTCTTTACCGTACTGCCTTAAAGCATGTGATACAGTGGAGTTTACAAAAAACGAACAAAAAGGACCTTACTTAGTGCTGAAACCCAGCTCGAACAACAGAACCCAATATGTCCACACCAGCAGGAGAAGATTAAAACAAGTGAAGTAAAAACCACTTTCAACTATTCTGCTTCGTTTCCTCTCTGTGTGTGTCTCTCTTCAGTCGCCCTTCCCTCCGAAATCCTGCCAAACCAGATTCAGCAGCTGCTACGTCACAACACACACACACACAGACTTTACATGCCCTGTCTTGTCAGTTTGCAGGATACAGGCAGACTCCACTCCCTACAAGCCATGTAACCTAAGACCTTATAAATAGGTAAGGAAACAGATACATATGCTTTGTTGAGCAGGGAGACAGAACAGCCATCCTTGCCAACCAGAATTCCTGTGGCATGAGTGTGTGTGTGTGTGTGTGGGGGGGGGGTAAAGATGTGTGGCGTTTGAAAGTGGGAAAAAAGAGTCAAGCAACAGAGAGGGAGATGCCAACCACCCTTCTTGTTGGCGGTTTGTCTAGGAGTAGGGCGCGGGATGCAGAATGTTGTTTTTACAGAGATACTAACTAACGACGGAAAATGGTCCTGAAGATATGGTGATGAGGCTGGAATGTTTAAAAAAGCCCTGACGCTAACTGCCCATTGCCTGGCTTTTAAGAAGTTTGAGATAACCACCGACAATCATTTTAAGATTTATTGAAAAGCTAATGCTAAACTGCATTGCTGGCTTTAATTTGTATTAAGTAACAGCTGAACGGGTATAAACGCTGGAGTGGGAGATTAATGGAGTGGAGTGTAATTACTATGAATGGAACTTTTGAATAAGTTGAATAAATCTTAATGTATGAAAGATGTGAACATTTTTTAAATGTCTACATATATATATATATATATATATATATATATATATAGTGAGAGAGAGAGAGCGAGAGAGAGAGAGAGTTTCTATGAATGTCTGAATTTTGGGGTGGTTGAAGATGAGTGGGTTTGAAGGGTTTGCTAAAGAAAGATTAATATTTTTAATGGTCTTAATGGGATTTGAAAGTTGAATAATACACAAAATGTATGAAAGAGGTGGAAAGATTTGATTGTATCAAATCACAATGTATGCAAGATAATGCAAAGTGACAAGACTAAATGAAAATGTGAAATCTTGAAGGTGTTCATAAGCTATGAGTAAATTGAATGAACAAAAAAAAAACATAAATAATATTAAAAGGTTAAGTAGAACCTTATAACGATGCAATACAGGTGTAAATGTATGGCTTTAAACACTGTAGAAAATGTTGTCATGCCAGCAGCTAAAGGTTAGAGGTCAAACTCTAAATCACACAAGAGGCTTACAAGAAGATTGCCTCATTGATGCTCTGTGGTTCACACAGCACCAATGGGGTAAATACAGGTAAGGCTAAAAACCTCCTAAACAGACAGGAGACACATTTTAATATTTCTGTCTGTGTTGTAGTTTTGTGTGTTTTCTTCAAGAAACATTCACACACTGTACCACCCAGTTACATAGGTGGGTTTACTGTGTTGGGTGCAAACAGTAGATGGCAGCAATGACTTCAACATCAGCCAACAATTCAGTTTACATTTTGCCTGCTTGCATCATTATAATATCATACAGCACGTTAAATGGATATTACTAATAAACAGTTAGTTTTAGTTATGTTATGCCTGGATAAATCAAATGTGTCATGTTGAGGGCAGAGAACATCTAAACCAATTTTAGCTAAATCTCTGAATAAACCTTACTTCATCTTCTGGAAATGGATAAAATAGCAGTTTTGTAAAATAAAGCAACATAATGTGAAATAAGACATAAGGCAGTCTGTTAAACCAGCATTACAGTGATTTTTTTTTAATTCGTTAAACTAGCAGAATGCAGGCTGAATGATACCGGAAGTGAAGACTGCTCGTCTACAAATTAAAACGGCCGTTATTTTACACAGCAGCGGAATGTGTATTTGTTTTTTTAAAATCAGCTTTATTGTGGAAAGCCTGCGACCGGAAGTTGCGATGCGCATTGCGGCTAACTCCACACATCTGTTCAACATGTCTCCTTCGCAGACTCTTCCCTGTCAGTAGAAGCGTCTGGATTATCCGTGAACCTACTGCGTTTTGTAAGTAGCCATGTCAGCCGTGTGTGTGTTTGTGTGTTAGACGTCGATGTAACGTAGCAACTGATACTATTGTGTAGGTAATGTTGCCTGCGTTGACAAGGCCACTGTACTCGCTGTCATTTGACTGTTATTGAAAACCGGTGAATGCTCTCGCCTGGAGTGTTAGCCTGCTGTTTCTACTGGCTGCATGGTAGTTGACCTGTTTTTACTCGACCTGGCTGGCGGCGGATGACAGCTGGCATTCATGATTAGTCTAGTTCCTAACTCCTGCGCTAACATATTGTCTTGAAACTGGGAGTGTTTATAACCTTTGTCGGATGTAACGGTACAGTAACGTGTGTGCCTTTTTTTAGAACCGCTACCAGTAAACGTTAAGCTAGCTGGCTTTACGGTGATTTAACGTTATAACATCGACCAAACGTTAAATAACATTATCTTCTAACAGTCTGTACGTTACACGGTGGCTTAGTGCACCGTTCAGTTTGTTTTTTATTCCTACCGGCGGCTCGCAGGTGCAAAATCAGACCTCTCGCCATTGATACACTTTAGCTACCGTTAGCGGAACGTCGTAGCTAAGATACGGTCCGGTATTTATTTATTTATTTATTTATTTAATAAGCCTGACTGTAAAATCCAGTACAATATGTTATGTTGTTCCGTTATGGAGAGATACAAGCTGCTTGATAAATATTTGTAGTGCGGCTTTACGAGTTAGCCGATACGTTATAGTAACACATTACGGTGTGGCTTTGTCTCCTAAACACATATCAGTCCGTGTCAAATGAGTAGAGAGTTACTAAATGTGGGTAACGTCAGCTGAGCACTATTAACACTATTCTCCTTTACGCAGCAGGTTAGCAGCAAGCTAGCGGGCCGTTGTCAGCCAGGACCCAGAAAAGCAGCATCATCATCAATGGTGTGTCTACATCCCGGAGCTGTCACATTCTCCTGTGTCCGCTCAATGAACCATCTGCTCAGCTCTCATCACAGTGAGTATCGTTATCGTGACTGCAACACTGTCCCGTCGCCTCTTTATGTAAATAAAGCTGGTTTAGGTTCGTTTCTAGCGTTGTGTTTTGATGAAGAAGCCCAGACAAGGGTATCTTTGGAGGCATTCTGCGTTTATTCTGACAAAAGGTGTAAATAACAACAAAATCCCCCGGTCAGTCGTTATCAGCTTGAGCTCCTGCACTAATTAAATGACACAGAAATATGTAAGTTTTAAGCTAGCAAGTAAACTTTGAATGTAGTTTAATAGAGGCTTAAAAACACGGACATTTCTGTGCCCTCGGTGTCGCTTACCTCCCCCAAGGAGTACAAGAGCAAAAGGGGAGAGTGAAAGGCGTGAGACACATTTATAGGTGGGACCCACCCAAAGTGAAAGTCAGGGTACAGACACTGAGTCATCACATATTAGCTGAGGAGGCTGGACATGTCAGGTTCTGACTATTAATACAGATTTTGTGTAATTGTAATACCACATATTACTGCTGTATAATTGACTCTGTTACATTTACGCAGTGCAAATCAGTGACTGCACATCACTCTCTGTCCGTGACTCACTCTCTCTCTCTCTCAGGCTGCACATGTATGGCGTTTGCGAGGCTTGGAGGGGAGTTTTGCCAAGCCCAGCACCTGCTGCTTATTGTGGATAAGTGAACAGGAGACACCAGCAAGGCGCAAACACTGCCATTGACGCACACAGGTGGGTAGTATACATGCTGCTAGTGTCTTTATTCATGATAAAGTTCTCAGTTGTTACCACTTTGCATTGGACAGCATAGAGTAGAGGCACAGTGAACCAGTGGTGCCACAGTACTGATTTAAGTATGTATCTATATATGTGTTATCAGATAAAACATCTCATTCACACTGGAATCACAGATAAATCAGTCAAACTTTATTTATATAGCACATTTCACACAGTTAAGTGCAGTTCAAAGTGCTTCACAGACGATTGACGATAATAAGACAGAATGGATTCAAAGTTAAATAAGGTAGATTTAAAAATTAAAATGCAATGTTAAAATATTTAAATAATACAGGTATAAAGTTAGTATTTAATAAAAGTTATACTAAAAACAAATAAGATAAATGAAGAAAGCAGGCAGAAAAAACAAATAGGTTAAACAAGAAAAAGTATATTTAAAATAAATTAATGAAATTTACGAAAGAGAACACGATACAATAAGATGAATGAGTAAAAAATGGTAAATAATGTTTAAAAAGCATTCCTGAAGATAAAACATCTTATTGGGAATAGGTCGGGAGACAAGAAGCTCATGTTTGTAATAAATGAATAAGCAAGAACGAGCATGGACGGATACAGTGTAAAAATGAATGACCTTGTCCATGTCCTCATAGGTCCTTACTGCCACCCTGTTCAACCCATATGAAGACAAGCCAACCTTCAGCCTGTCACCTGTCCTGGGGAGTAGGGGAGGCTCTGGTTTTATCCCAGGAGTTTCCTCGCAGCTTTTCTCCTCTCCTGCTTTTCCTTTCTTCTTCTGCTCTGATTCTTAGTCTTCTCTGAATGGGCTAACAGATTTGAAAGAAAGAAGGGACAGATCCTTTATCTGTCTTCAGTCCCCACCCCCCCTCTGGACTTTGGGTGTCTTCTCGCCAGTCTTTTTGATCCCACTCTGATAGATTTTAATTTAATTTAACCAGGCCAATTAAGTTTTTTCACTTATTGCCAAGAAAAGTTTAGATTTTTTTTTCCTGCAGTTTCTGTCCCAAGAATTTTGTCTTGTGTTTTTTGTTCTTTTATTCAGACTACTTTTTGTCATCAAAGGAATAGAATATTGACATTCTTTGCCCATAAATTCTTAAGCAGTGTTTTTTTTTAAACAATCAGAAGACTTTTGCTTTGGTTCCGTGGAAGACTCTGTCTGTCTGTCGCTCCATTCTTTGAAGCACAGTATTTTCTGATCTCTTTTTTTCTTTATTAACAAACCTTTCTGGGTCTGAAAATGAACCGACCGGCTCCAGTTGAGATCTCTTATGACTGTCTGAGATTCCTCATTACGCACAACCCCACCAATGCACAACTGGGAAGGTTTATAGAGGTAGCACACCTTTGAATAATTCATTCTTACCCTCCATTCATTTTCCTTTGTTTATAGAGAAAGTTACAGTGACACGTTGGGTTGAAAAAGTGTGTTTTGATGTGTAGGATCTGAAGGCATATGGAGTCAACACCCTGGTGAGAGTGTGTACCGCTACATATGACAAGACACCAGTGGAACAAGAAGGCATACACGTCCTGGTAAGTGACATAGATACACGCTCATATAGTGTCTAAATAGGCTAATCCTAAATCCAACAATGTCCTGTTGTGAAAATACAAGAATGTACTAGATCAACAAACTATGCAACATAAACATCTGTATACTATACAGTAATGAAAACATACATATGGATATTATATTCCATTTGTGTCAGTAGATCCTCCCAAATGTTACACACTGCACATTTTAACAAACATAAAACTCAATCTCCCTTTCAGGATTGGCCGTTTGACGATGGTTCCGCCCCCCCAGACCAGGTGGTTGATGATTGGCTGAACTTGCTGCAGACGAAGTTTAGAGAGGAGCCTGGTAGCTGTGTGGCTGTGCACTGTGTTGCTGGATTAGGACGGTTAGTATGCTAGCTACAAGATTTAACATATTGAGATAAATTAATGTCAAATCAGTATTTGTTTCAGATTTTATTTTCACAAATGCTGACACTGTTTAACCATGGCATTTATACAGTATACAGTATTAAGCTGTCAAAATGGTACCATACCACCCGCTGCTGTGCCTCCTTAGATCTGATAAAGAGGAAAGCTAGAATCACAAACCGGGTTCTGTTTTAAAGTC